TAAAATACAAAGTTAACGATTCTTCGCTGATAAACAATTTAATTCGCGTAAAATATCCACAGCATGATTAAATGTCGCAAAACTTGGAATCTCAGACCAATCGTCTTACTCATCCATTGTTCATCAGCGAAGAATCGTTAACTTTGTATTTTAATATTTGAGTTTTATGTATTGAAGAAGACTGTAGTGCAGTCGAAACGTTTACGTTGTATATTGTTTCTTTAATGGAATGAGAATTTAATTATTAATAAATCTTTAGATCTTATGTAATTTTGCTCGTTTAGTTGGCCTACAATATTTATTTTTTTTAATTTCGTTAATTTATACGAGCCTTTCATTAATTAATTTTCTCCTATTATTTTCTCCATAATAAAAAACATGTTAGAAAGAGAGAAATCGCAGAGATGTTTTTTATCAAAAAGTTAATAATACAGTTAACCTACATAAAGACACAGAATTTAAACATCTATGACAAAATTATAAAGATCGTATAAATTCTATATACTCAGTTTTTGATGATCTATCATAACGATAAGATGCGGTTACTTTCTTTCAAAAGTTCTTCCAAAAGTTTTTTCAAATGTTTTTAAAAAATTCCGATAATTATATGTTTAATAATGACAACAGTGTCAACTAACTGCGCTTTTATTAAAAAAGTATGTAAATTTTAATTCTTGCGTTTAACATCAAAATGTTTATCTTTATTAATTTTAATTAATTGTATCATTCTAGTTTTTACTTGAAAAGGACCAAAAACAGATGGTCGAAACGTTGTGGAAATAAAATAAAAATTTCTTGGCTAGTTTGGGTCGAATTTAATATATCGTTCCCATTTTAAATATCACTAGCGACGTTCTAAGTATTCAATTTGATTTTCTCCTATTGTTAGAATTTACCTTGAAAATTATGTAATTGTGGAATAATATGGTGTTGGAAGAATTTTATAAGTTTCTTTTAGATTAATATTTACCACAATAAAAAATATTAATATTTACATAGTAAAATTAATCGAGTATATTTTATATCTTATTATGGTAGATATTAATATTTTTATTGTGGTAAATATTAATCAAAAAAATTCTTATAAAATTCTTTCAATACTATATTGTCCCACGTTTACCATGATTTTCAGGGTAAATTTTAAAAGAAAATTCTCTCTGTGTATTATATACATAATTTTCATTCGCTGAATTTCTATTATGTACATAATTTTATTTTTGAATTTTCATTGTATACATAATATTAATTTTTGAATTTTTATTATGTTTTAAATTTTGATTAGTCAAGTTTTTATTATGTACAATACATAAGTATTCTTGAATTTCTATTATGTTATAATTTCAATTCGCCGAATTTCTATTATGTACATAAATTCAATTGGCCAAATTTCTATTAGGTACAATTTCAGTTATTTACATAATAGAAATACGGCAAATTAAAATTATATGCAAATAGAAATTCAAAAATTAAAATTATGTACATAGTAAAAAATAAAAAATTAAAATTATTTACATAAAAGAAATACGGCAAATAAAAATTATGTTCGTAATAGAAATTAGGCGAATTAAAATTATGTACACTCGCGGAGAAAAAATTTGTCTAGCGCACGCAAAGCGCGCGCTTGTGTTATCTAGTATATATTTTATGTAATGAAAAATTAAATAATAATAAAATATATAAACATTTCATACTTGCATTTTGCATTGCGCTAATTATTTTAATTTTCTTACAATCGTTATTTTGTTCATCAAAATTGATGTATACTTCCAGTTTATAGTACCAGAGAGAAAGATCTTTCTCTCTGATAGTACCTGTGGCGACAAAAGTAAGCCACGAGAGCGCACAGTCGTGAGGGCACTGCTCGGACAAGTACTACCGAGCGTCGCCGCTAGTAGCCGCAGCGCGGGAGCGTTACCAGCAGTCAAAATACTCTCGCGCGGGAATATAAAGAGGTCCTCCTGCCAGTGTTACAAGACGTAGGGGAATTTCTGTATTGGTAAGGAAACTATATACATTTTGTATTAAATATGTAGAGTTTTGAAGTTGTATAAAAAATACTCTTTCTTGTGAATTTTATTCAAAATCTTTTCTAGCGAAGTTAGAAAACAAGATTTTACATCTTCTTAGAGGAGGATAATCTTTTAGGTTTTTGTTAAGGTTTATTTTGCATTTTTATTACTTATTGGCAATGAAAACATTTGTATATGCGCTTCTAGCAGATAGAAAACGTTTCTAATTGTCACTTCAGTAACTTGATTAAATAAAACTCTAAGTGCATTGAAAGATATGTCCAATTTTTAGCTTTGTAGTCACTAACATGCTTTATCGAGTATATTTAATAAACATTTCTTCTTGCGGGGAAATACTTCATCCATTAATTGTATTAAGCTAGAAGCACAGACTTTTGCATAAAGCATAAGGGAATAAACCAATCAGAATTCTCTATTTTTAACCTTTCTCCTTATTCTTGGCATAGCGCACAGCGCATGAAACATAAGGGGTCAAAAAATTCGTAAAGATGAATGAATTTCTTATGCCATATGCCATGGCTTATGCAAATGGACACAACCTTTTTCTCGTTTCACTTCAACAGTTCGACATGCACATAACCTTTTTAGCTGTTTCTTGCTTGAATAATTTTATTTAAAATATTATTGTAGGATATTGTTTTTATTAATTTTTAAATGTGACACTTTTAAATGTGTAATAATTTAGATTGTTACTTGATAAATAATTTTTATTAGGTCACGGTTATATAGAAGTTTTTATTAATAAAGTCTTGGTGCGTTCCCGAAAAAGTTCAAAGTAAATTTGATTTGAAGACGCAACAGCTTTGTGTTGATACCGAAAAGATATATTCAATGTGCCATATACTGATTCTCTGCCACAATCATTGGATAAAATAGATAGTCAAAAGCAAAAATTAGGAGTCATTGGAATAAGTGTGTCGTTAATTACTTTGGAACAAGTCTTTTTAAAGTATGTTTTCTTAAACGTATTGTTGATCATTATTTTATTGCTACAGTTTTACATTTTGCTATTTTACTATTTAGTTTAGAATTGTGAAGAAAGAAGATGTGTAGCGGGAGGCATACTAATGAATTTTATTTGCGATGCCATTAGGCAAATGCTGGAAGCGTTCTATGCACATAATCAATACTGGCATTACTTAGTAAGAAGTTTACATATATACAAGAAAGAATATAACTACTTTACTGATTGTATGTATATTTTTTAAATAGGTTTCTTTGAATCGAGTTTTGTTTTACAAATATATTGCACACATTATATTTTTTTACATACATTTACAATTCTCTCCGCATTATGTTCAAATGTGAATTTCTCATTACTTTTTAGCATTAATATTTTATTGACCATAGGTTTTCAGATAATTTTTTCTATCTTTTTAGTGCTTTTAATGGCCTTAAGTTACAACTTACCAAGCGACTCTACAGACATTATTCCATTGAATCTGGACACTAACCAGTTTCTTTCGTTTTACTTCAATATATGCATAATTTTTTTAGCTGGCTTGCTTGAATATTTATTTCTCGCGTCGTAATTTTTGAAAACTATAAGTAACATAAAATTTTATTTTTAAAATTATTTTGTATATATTTATGCAAATAACGTGCAATTTTTAAAATTAATGCTTGTTCGTATATTGTAAAAAGTACAATATGACAAATATGTGAAGTTATTTTTAAACTTATAGTTTTGTGTTTTTAGATATTTGAATGTTACATCAGTTTTCGTCAATATGGATGATGAGGATTTTCTCATCTCATGCATTCTGCAATTGTGTTTTCTGGCTTTGTTACAAAAAAAGGAACAAAGCAAGAGATGGTTGAATCGAAGATGGTGGGTGAGACCCATAAACGTAGCACGTCCAATATATGGGGACTTTGAACATCTCTTCCAGCAAATAAAATGATCCAGATATTTTTTTCCGATATGTGAGGATGAGAAAGGAAACTTTCATGTTACTGTTAGAGATGACAAAACCATTTCTAACAAAAATGAGCAAACGCGCATTCAGTCCCGAACAAAGATTAAGCTATAACTTTAAGGTATTTATTCCTCTTATTTTGTATTATTTAATTCAGACCACGTATTATTTTAATGTACTATCAGTATGAAAATTTATACACGTTATATATATGTTATATATATGTTAACGATAGATTTTTAGTACTAAGTGTATGTCGAAAGACGTCTTAACTCCAAGTCAGACTGCACGCAGCAAGCAGTAAGCATCGAAACAACAGCTAATACTGCTCGCCTAAAATCCAACAGTGTTGAATTTGGAGCAGCAAGCATCGAGCAGTATTGGCTGCTTCCGTTACTTGCTGTTTGCTGCGTGTAGTCTGTATTAGACTTAAAACCTATTTCATACTGAAAATCTATAGGTAACATTACATATATAACATATATAAATTTTTATACTGATAGTATATTGAAATAATACTGCTAAAATGAAAAAGTGAAATAAACTTTGTAAAGCAATATTATTTTTATTAGCATTTCATTCATTTATCAAACCTATTTTTTGCAGATATTTAGCTACTGGAAATCAGATTTTTGTCCGTTGCATTGGCTTTTAGATGTGGAGAATCCACTGTCAGAAAAGTTTTCCATGAAACCTGCTCTGTCATATCAATGGTATTACAACCCATTTATCTTCGTTTACCAACGGAAGAAGAGTGGAAAAATATTTGTGCAGGTTATATGGATAATTGGAATTTTCCCAATTGTGTTGGGTCATTTGATGGAAAGCACGTGCAGATACAAGCTCCGCCCAATTCGAGGACTTTCAATTATATTTTTCAATTATAAGAAAACCTTAGTGTAGTGCTAATGGCAGCATGTGACTACAAATATATGTTTACGCTAGTTGATATTGGATCATACGGTGGTAATAGTGATGGAGGGATTTTTACTTCTGAAATTCATATGGCTTTAGAAGAAGGAAGATTAAATCTTCCTACAGGACTGCAAATCTTCCCGGAAGCAATATTAAAGGTTTGTTCTTTATTGCTACACTGAGTTCATACTGCACTGCACTGAACGGAACTAGTGCAAGCAGGACATGTTATTTGTGAGCAAGTATAAAGAACGCGTCAGTGTAATAATCAACATGGCGATGATCTTAAATGATTTATTTGATTCTTCTGATGATGAAAAAAATAATATGTTGTTTCCATTTCAACCTATTATGCGTAACGATGACGATGGTATGTATTTTATATGCAATATTATTATATTATAAAAAAATTAATTTTTTTTTTAAATAATTTAATTTAATGTAAACTAACCTAGTAAGTATAATTTTTTATTTGTAGATTTTTATGAGTTACACATGTTACATCCAATTTTCGGATTAGTGCAAAGAATTGAACATGTGAAAATAAACAATTATATCGAACATATTGTTCATAATTATAATAACGTTGATTTTATCATGCATTTTCGTTTGTCAAGAAGAGCAGCATATCAATTAATAGACCAATTTACAGTGTCGGAAATATTTACTTCTATACAAGATGTGTATTTAACGAAATCTATTTAACTTTAGATATATGGTACACAGCAACAAAATAGTAAAAATAATACTTAAAAAATGAAAATAAAAATATTTTATTATTTTGTGTATTTTTTTAGAACGTGTACAAAATAATAAAATTAGCGCTGAAAAACATATTTTATGTTATTTATGGTTTGTGGGTCATCAAACAGGATCTTATCGAGATATAGCAGATAGATTCGGAATAACAATAAGTGCATTACATACAGTAATATCAAGAGTAACCGATTTTATTTTAGCTTTAGCGCCTAATATTATTAAATACCCAACTGATCTCGAAAAAGAACAAACTTCAAACTTTTATCTACAACAAAAACGATTTCCTAATATAATTGGTAAATATATAAGAGTATATTCTCACATTTTTAATAAAAATATTTTGCTTATTGAAATCTTCTCATTATTGAAATTTTTTTTAAGTGCTATCGATGGTTCTCAAATAAGAATAGACAAACCTCTTGAAGATCCTGATTCCTATATAAATCGGAAACAATATTTTCTATTCAGTGCAAGGGACAGTTAATCATGACATGAAATTTATTGACGTATTTATTGGGTATCCAGGTTCCGTTCACGATGCAAGAGTTTTAAAAAATTTAACACTATATAATGATCTACATAATATTTGTGGAGGTAAATTGGAAAAAAATTGGTTTTATAATATAAAATATATCAATATATATAAATATATCATACATTATATATATATATATATATATATATATTATATATATATCTATATATATATATAACATTTGAATCGGGTCGGATTATAGTGAGCACTCTTACAGTGGAAACACCAATAATAATTTTATAGGGTAGAGTTATTGGTGTTTTCACCGTAAAATGCTCAACTATAACCCGACTGTGACTCTGACCCAATTCGAACTCTCGGTGGAACATAGTCATATACATATATATATTACATACACAATACTAATATATTATATATATATATATATATATAATATATATCAGGATATATAATAATAATTTTCAGATAATTATTACCTGTTTGGGAGATAGTGCTTATCCCTGTTTGAAACAATTGATTGTCCATATAAGGATAACGACACTTGACACGTGCACAAAGATCATTCAACCAGAAACTAAGCTCATGCAGAGTTGTTATCGAAAATGCATTTGGCTGCCTCAAGCAAAGATTTCGTCAGTTATACCATTTTAAATTGCGAGATATACCACGAATGGTACGAGTTATACATGCATGTTGTGTATTACATAACATTGCGAATGTGCAAGACTTACACTATTTTGAACCACAGTTAAATGACGAATATCCAGATATTGAATTACAAAATAGACCCATTGTAATGATCGATAATGCAAGGGAATATAAGGATGATGTGAGAGGAACGCGTGTTCGTGACGAAATCTGTAATTTACTATCTCGATAAAAAAAAATGTCAAATATTTTGTATTATAAATTTTTTATTTTGTAAAATAAAGATGTATTATATATTATGTATTAATAAGAATATGTATTATATATATTATAAATATGTTATTATATATCATTATAATTTTTTATTTTATTATAAATTTTTTTTATTTTGTTACAACTAAAAAAGTTATTTATTAAGCTAATATTTAAAACAAAACAAAAGAAACAGTATTGCATTAAATTGTTAATAATGCAAAAACAAAACAAAAATAACTATAAAATTTTAAGTCTTTAACTTTTAGTTAGTTATTTAGTTTCTTTATCAAGAAAAGCTTTTAATAAATTATTTCTTTCTTCTTTCTCTCATTTTTTTGCAATTATTAATTGCTCCTCTACTTTATCTAAATACTTTTCATATGATTGTCTCATTTGTCTATATTCCGCTAATATCTCTGCTTCTTTTTCAATTTTAGCGTGCTTTTCTTCTTGAATACGATTTATCAATTCTTTCATACTTTCTTGACACGTTTTCAAAATTTTTGCTGTTGTGCCCATTTGCCTCTTGTTTCTGCATTTCTTCAATAGAAAGTGTGTTTTGCAGATTAGACTGATTATACATAGTTGGTGTTGTTGCTGTTGATTCTTGGTTGGTTGTTCCCGATTCAAATACTGAAAAATCTTGACTGGTTGATGCGTTACTTTCTGTCGGTATATTTCTGTTTCAAATACACCAGTAGTGAACCTATAATGACATTATATAATTAGTATTAAATACATTAAACAATTTGTGTAAACGATATTATTTATGTATAAACAATATCTTCCTATATGTGTTCTTTAACCATTAACTAAACTTTAGTAATTATTATGTGAAAGATTATATACCTAATATTATCTAATATAAGAAATAATAATACACAAATTATTAAAACAACTAATAAAACTTACGTAGGTATAGTTTCTGTCAGTTCTCAGTATTGTGCTTTTATTTCCATACAATTAGAGGTTCAATATTATGTTTACTCCCAATTAAATCTGTCAATTCTCTATAATAATGCATTTTATATTATAAAAAAAAACATTTTCCTACTACAAGTTTTTTAAGATAGATATTTGAAAAAATTTAAAGCAAGAAATCTTAGTGCATGAGTATATATAAATGTATTATATTATTATGTATATACATTATATTAATTCTTCAATTAAAATATAATAACTTACGTTTCATATGCACATGTTGCTCGACCTCTGCCAGTTTTTTTATTATTTGTGATCATATTTTTATAAGCTTTTTCTAATGATTTAAATTTATTTTCAGTTTGTATATTTGATACATTATAGCCTTGAATATTCATTTCTTCTGCGATTTTTTCCATAATGCTGTTTTGTTTCTAATTTTTCTTGTCGTAAGTAAATGTATTTTTTTCTTTTACAAACATAAAAATAATTTTTGTGCTTGCATCTGACCATGAAAATGTTTCTTCTATATTATCTGAGTTTACTGGTATTCTATTTTCCATGTAGTTGTCTTGTTGATTTTCTTTATTGATTTCATTATTATTATATTATCATTTAACGGAATACGGAAAATATTGACTTGTTGTTTAATGTTAAATTTTGGAGTCACAGTTAAAATTGATCTCTGAATAACCAATTTGAAATTTCAGCCCTCCTAAAAAATTATATATAAATTTTAATTTTTTTTGATTTCTTAATTACTTTCATATTTTATATGATATAATTTGACTTACCTTCAGAAATGCAAGTAATTAATCCATTTTCACATCAATTAAAATATTTCCTGCTGCATCTCTTTGTATAATTGCTGTTTCACTTTCCATGACTTTGCTTTCAGCTGATCTATTAGTTATAAAAATTCTTTTATATTCTGTATAATGTAAATAATTCATATGTTTTGATTATAAATACAATTTTATGTAATAAATACACTAGTTTAATATTTAATAGGTTATTTATATATATATTTTATAAATTAAACTTCGGCTCGTATACAATTAAAATATGTGATATAATAAAAGGCCAACTTAACGAGCTTATAAGATATTAATTCAAAAATTTTTATTATTAATTTACGTCATAATATACAACAAGATAAGATAAACGTTTCGACTGTACGACAGTCTTTTTCAATATCATGCTAATATGTCAAAAAATTAATTTAGTCATATCGACCTTATTATAAATACAACATTTATGAGATTATCATATGATGAACGCAGTACAAAATTCATGTTTGTTGGCTTGAGTTAGAGCGTCAGATTTCTGTATGTCATGCTGTTATATTACGTGACGACACTGTGAACCAATTAATATATCCGCTCAAATATTACATTTTAGATTTTTAATAAATAGTATTAACTTACTTTTTTGTCACGAACATAACACTTTTTTTAAAAATTATTTCTTTTTGAATAACATAATCACAATGTGTACTTTTTAAAAACAATTCGATATCTGTATCTCGCAATGTCGGCGCGCTGTATATATACCCAATTTTTAAGATGACGTAGACAATTTTTTTTAAAAATAAATCAAAATAAGAACCGTCAAGACGCTCGGTGTCCTTTTTTAGGTTGATACTGTTGTTTTCTCTTCTTTATATGTATCATTTCTGATATCAACCTTTATAAATAATTCTTTTC